GACAGGAGCAGCCAGCAACATGGAAGGGAACTGCATGGATCACAAGGTCTCGCACCAGAATTCCCACTAATTACTTCAGACAGCCCAGGGAGCTGCATTCCTAACCGTGGAAGAACTATGAGATACAATGAAAATAAACTGCATGCACCAGGACAACAGAATTACAGCATCAGAGATTTTGGAGAACTGTACGCAGCCACTTCCACTGTAAAGCCAGGATGAAGAGAGCCTGGGATGCAAACAGCTCCGGGAGCTGGGACCTGCTCACACCACAGCTCTGCACTGCGCTCCAGTTCCCCACCTGAGAAGAGCAGTGGTTGCCAGGTCGGCATGCAGGGCAAGGCATGAGCAAACCAAGCCTGACCTCCAGAACAAGCTGGGAAGGAACAGTTAGAGACATTGATGTTACCAGCCCTGGGTGACATGAAAACAGATATACACACTATTAACAATTAACATGGTGCAGGGCACTGATGCTGGGATCTATTTTTAAGATTAGTTTTTGTAACTGTATGAAAGAATGAGCTAACAGTTATCTATAAAGGAGAAAGCACTTCACTAAACATAGCATCACTGAAAGGAAAGCATCCCAAATAATGTTTCCACATAGAAACGCATAAGGGCGAACTAAAAATCAAATTCTGATAAACATTCCCAGTTGCCAATGGCACTGGGAGTAGAAAACATAAAATACTTTTATACCCATTTTCTAATGCTATAATCACTCACATAAATTCCAATATTAGATATTTATATGCATCGAACTTCAGGTGGTAACTCTGAACACATACAGTACAGCCTGGAGGAACTCAGCCTCAGTCATTTTATTTACCTCCTACTTAGAAACTGCCCCAAACTTCTAATTGCTTCCAAACTAGTTTGCCTGATCACAGTTTAGACCACCACCACAAAGTCTACCAAAACCCAAAGCAATACTGCTCCTGGTAAACACACAACAGCAGCTTTTCTGTAACCTTCTGCCTCCTACATCACTTCCCCAGAGGCTCAGCTGCTGTGGCCATCCAATTCTAGATCCATCCTGAAACTTACAGCCTCCCAATTCACTTATTCTGTTATACAAGCATTCTATTTTTCTTTTTGTTTTTTTGTTTTTCCTCATGGGAAAGGAAAGCAATCCCATACCAGCCACCAAAACTGATTAATTCTGAGATTTTTAAGGTCTGCTATTCAGCACATACCAGTATGTAACCAAACTGACATATATCAATGCTAGCAGACCTGCAATTAGACCTAAAAGGTTTTATTCCAGAGGACAGCATACATGTTGTTCTCCTCCACAGTGTCTCATGCTTTCTTAATGAGCAGCTAGGCTACTGAAATGCACAAAAAACACTGCTCTTTGAAGCACTTAAGACAGCAGGATACTGGTACATTTCAATACTTTCCCTGCACAGATCAGAGCAAGACAAAGTGGAAAAAGAACATTACAGGCATTCATACAAACCAGACACCTTTCATTTCCTATTAGCAAGATCCCAAGAGACAATTTAGTACTCTGCAAATACGGCACTGGAAGACCTGAAAGTTGTTTCCTGACCACCAGTCATTGCACAAAGGTTTCAGAGTATGTTCTATTCTTGACCACACAAAAGCAACACTAATTTCCCCATCCTACACAGGAGCAGCATCACGCACATCACAGCTAATCAGTAAGATATTTCTCCTAAGACATTACAATTTAATCACTCCTTGGGAGGAAGGAAAAAAAAAAAAGAAAAAAAAAAGCCAATTCCTCTATCAAGATTATCAGCATTTTTCTGAAGTAACAAATCAGGCCTTTGGCATTTTGCAGCAGTGATCCAAGATTCGAGGCTTCTTAAAAGCTCCAAGTTTTGAAGCAATCAAATGGCTGACAGCTGGAACACAATTAGCATGATTAACCAGTTATTTAAATAACAACACAGTCAGTACAAGCACAGTTCATCCACACGCATTGCACTGCACAGCACTGCTTGCACTGGACATCAGATGTTTGTCAACTGGTCATTAAATATGACTCTAAGAATAATGGATGTGGAAAACACCATGGAATTACCACCAGGAAACTGACAGACAGGGCTTGGGTCTCTGTTCTGCTAGGACAGGACCACCAGGTGACTCCCAGGTAGGACTTTTCTTTCCCACATGTCACCCAAGGCAATTCAGCTCCTGCTTAAGCAAAAAGTCCTCTTTTTTTTTTTTTTTTTTCTTTTTTCCTTTCTCCTAAAAAAAGAGTGGCTTTTCATACCCTATTTCTTAAAAGCAGGCACTATTTTTCATTGGTCAGAACTCACAAAGAGCTGCCGCCCATCACTGCAGCAGGATGATGTCACACAGCTGCTCTATGACATCAAGGAACTTGCAATCAGCATCACTAAGTCAAACTTCCTGAGGAGTAACTCACAGTCAGCTCAGCCTTATCAGAACCCGTCTTCAGGAATGCAAACTCACGGTTAATTTGTACTCGGTAATTCTCGATAACACGGTTAAATATTTAATATATGGCAGATTATCTCTGAAACTCTATCCAGTCAGTCTGCCGCGACCCCTGAACTGCAAGAGAAAACGTATCAAAAGTTTTAATCCTTCACAAGGAAACACAATACAGGAGTTTGTTTGAAAATAATGTGCCTGGGAATCAGCCAAGATAAACATATTTTGAAGTACTTCCTAAACAGACTGCATTTTGCCGGAGATATGGTTATTACATGTTTGTATTTTAATCAAAAACCAAAATCAAAATCTGACATCCAGCATTTTAAACCTAAGCAACCCGGTTCTCTCTGACCTTGCCTCGCACAAAATACAGCATTACGCAAGAGCCCCATATTTCCATAAAACACACATTTCAGCGGGGAGAATAAAACAACCCAACGCCGTGGCCTGATTTGCATTCTGAACTCCTGAAGTCCAGCCTGCAACATCCGCAGCTCGGCCATCGGGACAAGTGCTCCGTGCCTCCGGATGGGGTACTTCCTTTGTAAGGATAGAACAGTGTGGTCGGTAAGGTTAGAAAAGACCTCTTAGATTGTCGGGCGAGTGCAGTCGGTGTCGATTTTAACGATCATTGAGCTTTCTGGATGAGTGATAAGGAAGGGGGAAGGCACTGCACGCCCCTCGGCCAAACGGCGCTGAGCTCACATAGCTGTTAGCGCTGCGCCTCACGGCTTTACAACAGGGGAGGCTCATTGTTGGCAGCCCGTAATGATCGCTGCCGAAATATCGTTCCGAGATACAACGATTAACGCAGGGCGCTAACTGCTCAAAGCACAGCATCCAACCTACTGCGGGGAGAGGATTAAAAATCAAAAAACCAAAAAATAAAGGAGAAAAAAACAAAAAGGAGGAAGAAAAAAAAAAAAGGGAGGGTGGGGGGAGGGAAGGAGGGTGAAGATTCTTAAATTAAAAAAAAAAAAAAAAAAAAAAAAGCCCCGTTGCTCACAGAGCCGGGCCGGGCCGGGCCGCTCCCGCAGCCGCCGCTCCCCCCACCCAACGCCGCGCTCCTCCCGGCGGCACCGGCTGCGCTGCCGGAACCTCCTCCCGCCATGATGGCCGAACCGTTGCTACCCACCGCCCGGCGCGGACAACAAAAGGCAGCCCCGGCCCCGCTGGGCACACGGCGGCCTCCCCCGGCCCCGCTCCGCACCTCACGCCGCCGGGCCCCGCTCGGCGCCCCGGGGGCCCTTCCCGCGCCCAGCCCGCGCCGAGGGGCGAGGCCGAGGGGAAAGGAAGGGGCCCGGGAGGCCTTCCCGCCGCCTTTCCGCGCACACCCGCGGTCCCGGACTGACCTGAGGGGAACGGGAGGAGCGCAGGAGGGCTCCCGGCGCCCGGCCGCCGCCGCCTCTGGCTGGGTTTGACACCCACACGCACCATCCAACATGGCGGCGGCCAGGGGGAGGCGGCGGACGAGGAGGCGGAACCGGCGGCCGCGCGCGCCCCCGAGGCGCGGCACCGGGCCGGGCGCGGCGGGGAGAAAGCGGGGGCGGGAGATGGGAGAGCGAGCGGCGGCGGGCGGCGCCCCGCGTCCTGAGGAGCCCGCGCTCCGCTCCTCCTCGGGAGGTGGCCGGGCCGGCATCGCTTCCAACCGTCCGCATCCACTGCTCTTCTCCTCACGGAATCACAGAATGGCCCGGCTTGGAAGGGACCTCAAGGCTCACGAATCTCCAACCCCCTGCCACATGCAGGGCCGCCAACCTCCACCTTTAATACCAGGCTGCCCAGGGCCCCATCCAACCTGGCCTTGAACACCTCCAGGGACGGGGCATCCACAGCCTCTCTGGGCAGCTGTTCCAGCACCTCACCACTCTCTATGTAAAGAATTTCTCCCTGACATCCAACCTAAATCTTCCCTCAACTTAAAGCCATTTTCCCTTGCCCTGCTGTTATCTACCCTTTCAAAGACTTGATTCCCCTCCTGTTTGTAGGCTCCCTTTAGGTACTGAAGGCTGCAGTGAGGTCACTGCACAGCCTTCTTTTCTCCAGGCTGAACAAGCACAGCTTCCTCAGCCTGCCTTCATAGAGGAGGTGCTCCAGTCCTCTGATCATCTTCACGGCCCTCCTCTGGACCCTCTCCAACAGCTCTCTGTTTTTCTTGTACTGGGGGCTCCAGACCTGGACACAGCACTCCAGATGGGGTCTTACAAGAGCAGAGCAGAGAGGGACCTCCCTGTCCCTGCTGGCCACCACACTTTTGATGGAGCCCAGGATCCCGTTAGTCTTCCGAGCCGCAAGGGCACACTGCTGGCTCATGCTAAGTTTTTCATCTATCAAGACCTCCTCCTCCTCGTGTCAAACTTAGCAATGTAACAATAAATATATACATATTTTTAAATGGTGTTTTTGTACTTAGGGACGCCTCAGAGTGATGATGTGGGGCTGCAGCAAGACCTCTGTGATCACTGCGCTGCCCTCAGCATCACCTCCAACCATCCCAATTTGCCACTCTTATCCTCCTTACTATATTAGGCAACATAATAACAAACAATATTTTTAATGGCATTTTCTGATTTAGAGACACTTCATGGGGGGTCTGTACTGAGACCTTCGTGGTCACATTGAGGGGAACTGGATGCAGAAAGGACTGTGGTAGCGAGAGCCAGGCAGCCTGTAGCTCATGGCCTTCCCTTGTTGGAGACACAGAGCCCAGGATCACGAGTTGGAGGTCAGTGGTCTCCTTGTGCTTCTCTGAGTGTTTGTTCCTATCGTAAAGCTGTGGGACAATTCAAGGAAATGGGACGTGGCTGTACTGGAGACAGCAAAGGTCAGCAGAGGCTGGGAGGGACATGTTACAGCTGGCTCCAGGTAGCACTACTGCTCATTTAAAACCCAAATTCCTGAGCAATCTCACCTTATTAAACACTATAAAACAGAGGAAACAGAGCAAAATTCAGTTTATAAGGTATTGCTTTCCAAGAGAAAGAAGCATGGCAAACTTACAGCCCTGCACCTCAGAGCCGGTAGCAGAATTCCCACTGACCTCAATCTGAGACAGATCCAGGTTTAAATACAGAAGGACATGGACTGCAGCAAAGCACAGGGTAAGCTGCATTAAAAACAACTTGTTTTAGAAATGCTGCAAGTCGAAATGCTTCAAATACCATCTGGTAGTTAGGAAGCCAAGTCTGCAGCTAGCTGTGATATAGCTTAGTTGTTAACCTTGAGCTCGGGGAGCCCAGCAGAATGAAATTCTGGGTGAAAAAACAAAACATCTGCAAGCATCTGACACTATCAGCAGGAGCTGAAAGAATACTTCCCTCTTTTTGTCTTTAGAAAAAACAGCAGTGATGGAAAGCTAATGTTTCTATGCATGTTCATTAAGCCTAATGATTAGGTGCTGACAGCTCTGAAGAACAAGAGGAAAGCTCTTGTTTAAAGTAAAATGTGCAGAAGATGAGTCTACTTTCTGCCTTCTCTCATGCCTAACTTTCTCTCTCCTCTGGACAGATCTCTGAGAAACAGGTGGGAGCTTCCCCTGTGCTTCCAGCTCCATCTCAGGCATCTCCAGGGCTGTGCCTGCAGCTCAAGTGTACAAATAAACAAACCCAGCAGAGAATTCCTGCAGCTGGCACACCTGTATCAACACTACTGCATTTTCTGTCAACTTGATCAAGCCACTCCGTACAGGCAAAACAAGCTGCCTGAGTGAAATTAGGGGTTGTTTTTTAGTTGTTGTTTTACTAGAGTTGTGTTAACACCTTAAACTGTGTTGGTGCTAGGCTGGCCAGGTTCCCCAGATTATTGCAGCTGTACCAAGAGAGATTTGTCCAGTCTGCAATGGGACAATCCTGAGGATGCTGCAGTGAGTACAGACTCTCTGCAGCAGATCAAAAACTCTCCTTGCACACTAGCCACAGCTGGCAGCCAATTGTGGTTTTAAAGCCAGAATCCAGCTTGGCAAGCTTTCCATTCTAGTCCTGTCCTCCCTGAACAGGCTGCACCACACCTTGGTTGTTGACCCATGACATTCTATCAAGTTGCTCACAGCACACATTTCAGCCCCGTTGGCAGAGCCAGAGTTCAAGGCCATTATTTGCAAAGTGAGTTCAGCATCAGAAGGCGATAACCGCGGCGTCTCCCCAGTAACTGCTGCAGCAGAGCAGTCCATGTGGAGAAGGCAGATGGAGGCAGCGAGTGGGAGGAAAGGGGCCTTTGCATCATAAGGAGCAGAAAGGCAAGGAGAGAGCTGCAGTGTGATGCTGGGCATGCAGGAGGCTCTCCCAGCACAGCCAAGGCGCAGCCTGCCCCAACCATGGCTGCCCCCCGAGCTCATGTAGCCACGTGGCTGCCAAGGAGCCCCAGGAGAGCCTTGCACTGCCATAACGTGAGCATCGCCCACACAGCAACTGCCACCACGTGGTGCTGAGCACACCGCTCATCAGCTAATGAGTTTGTTCCAAATGTCTGGCCACGGTGCGACTGACAACAGGAGCAGCACTCGAGAAGCACTGAACAATGACAAGTACATTCGTCTCTTGTCAGTGACCCCCGCCCCGCATTAACAAACGGGTCACAAATAACAGTGCTTTGCAGTGATCTAATCCTCCTGCCATATGTCGGCTGGCCGAAAAAAAAAATACAGGAAAAAAAAGCTGCACCAAGAATGCCGAAAAGCTCTGCAAAAAAAAAAAAAAAAAAAAACTGTAAGGAAAACTCGATAAATATATCTCTGCAGTTTGAAATTTGATTTCCTCACTCTATTGTTTCTCATTTCCTGAGAGCTGGCTTGGTGGATCACATTTTCTGCTTTTGTCTCCAGCATTTGTAACCAAACAAGACTGAATCTCATTACACTGATGCATGGCTCTAGCTGCATGCAATTCAATCACAGTCATTTTTGCTCCATTATCAATTTCCCTTCCCATTCTTAACCGATAGGTCTTCAAAGGAATCAATTCAAAAATAGACCAGCATCATCTAATGAAGGTGTGTTTAATGCTCAGCATTTAATTCTGTATTAAGCAGACAGGGAAGAAGCTGCCTGGTGTATCAGGCATCCTCCACTCACACTGACCCCAGTGGGAGCTGGCATTTCTCAGCCTCCCTGGGAAGTCAGATGCTTCCACGAGGGGGTAAATAAGGACTCGAGTCCCTTTTGTGCCCAGCTTTGTAAATCTGCTAATTAAATGAGAATATGGGCAAATGCAATCATTATTGTCCTCAGAGCCAAAGAATCAAGGCATTTCTCAACACACACAGGCTCTCTTCTCAATTTTCTGAGCCATCTGCACATCGCTGACAGTGATATGGGAAATATTCGGATTTACACCAAGTGATACTCACCTCAGATTATTCTCTCCTGGATTCATGAACCTTTCATGGAAACACTCCGAGTTATGCTGAGTTATACCTCTGCACACAGAGCCACAGGGCCTGCAGCCAGACCACGTGTACAAAGTTCACCTAAAATAAAGACCAGAATAAAAGTTTGTTTCCTACTGTGCTCAGGTTAATTTCTTTTAAACATCTTCCATACTCTGAATAAACGTAGTTACAGGGGAAAAAAAATAATAATAATCAGAAAGATGAATGGTAAAATGTGCCCCAATAAGCCCCTGCCTGAGTTCAGCTGTAAATAACCCAAGTTTAATCAGAATAGAGCACACTTATGGCAGTGTGACGATTTTAGTTTCATTTGTGATGCACACAAACTCGTAGAATTGTTTCCAGTGCAAACATTCACTGTGACAAGCTCAAAATTAATACACCTCTAATGCAGGCTTTTGGAACAGACCTTTTCTGAACACGTTAGCAGATTCACGAAAAGAGGAGAGAGAATGCAAGCCCAGCACATTGTTTTTCTTGAAATGAATATGCACTGACAGCACGCGAGGTGGTGATGTTTGAAATGTACTCAGTTGTAGTAATTACCAAGTGTTGTGTTTCTTCAGAAGTTAGAGCCCTTCTCCTCTGTGGGCACCTTCCTTCATGCCTTTCTCCTTACTGCTCTGAAGGTACAGTTTCTCCCCGTGCCACACTGAGAAACCAAGACGTTGCTTACTCCAAATCCCACTGAGGGGTGGAATTCCATAAGTTTCAGTTGACCCTGGTCAGGGTGCTGCAGTTCCTGCCCTTCTTCCACTACCCCCAGCCACCTGGTTCCATTCCCTCCCTACCTCCAGCACCAGCTAACACCATCTGTGGTGAGAGCTAATCACTTTTTGGGGAGGAGGATTGCATTGCAGCCAGTTGAGCTCTCTGAATCAGCTCAGCAGAGAAGGTCAGACAAACAGTTGTGTCAGCAGAAAAGAGAGGACAGGAGGGGACAGGAGGTTTTACTCTGATCAGACATAACCAGCATGGCTGTGCTGCCTGTTCCATGCTGGGAGCACTCCCCAGTTGGGACTGTCTGCATAGTTTTTACTGTCAGACACAGAACATTTGCTGTGACATTGACTACTTTGCTACTGCTTGGTACCACTGACCCAAGCCAGAGCCTTCCAGCCCATGCTGGAGGAAACAGATTCCCCTGCAGTCAGCACAGCTCATGCTGTCCCTCTCGACTTCCTCCTTGTCACGATGAGAGCACTTCCTGCCAGGAAGGGCCTGATGAACAACATCACCCTTCTGTGCTCCTTTATCATTCCAGCAGCCACCCAAGGAACATCACCTCCCTTTTGCTCCAGGCCTATCTGCAGCCCAATCTGGGCGTCATAATAGCAGCCAAAGTACAGGATGATGTGTGCTGTTGTGAAAGGATCTCACGTGGCCACGGATCATCTTTGCTCCTCCCCGAAGTTGCTCACCTGGAAGAGGCTGCCTTGCTGGGCAAACACCTGGAGAGCAGGAGATGTGCTGCCGGCCCAAGCACTGCCCCACGTGTGACAGTGAGCAGACTGCTGAGGAAGGAAAAATACACTTTGTACACTAAGACAAGAGCAAGGGAAAAGCAGTCTTCTGACCAGAAACATATACAACCAAGTATCAGGTGAGAGCACCTCAGGTCCTTGCAGCAGCCGTGGCCACATCAGAAGACTCAAGCACAAAGTGTTTCATATTCAAGCGCAAAACACAGAGCCTTTGAGAAGAGCAATGCTTTGCTCACAAGGGGTAAGCCCATCGATTTGTCTGCCCCTTACTGGGAATGATTAGGGATAGAAAGACTGAAACAGGCATAACCACACTCGTATACAGAGAATTGATGCAGCAGATAGTCCATGGGAGCTGCTTTTGTGCTATTCTCCTGAAGCACCCAGCAACGTCACATCTGCTTATAGCCCTGAGAAAAAAAAAGCTTTATGCCTACAGTGCAAATCTACAGCCACTAGTAGTGCAGAAATGTCATACTAAAGCTGAGACAGGACTCTAGAAGCAGGGCAACCCGGAGTCATTTTGAGCTTTGCTTCTTTTAAACCAAGGGATTTGTGGCACTGCTACTGAGCCCCTGGATTACAGCTGGTTGCCCATCACTGAGCATCACAGCTGAAAATCTCGTGGTTTTTCCCTTGACAGATGAAAACTGAGGGTTGTCTATTTGGTTTGTGTTTGCACAGCATCCAGCTGGTTGCTTAATTACTTGGCCCAGTTTCGAGGTTTCTGATTCCCACTTCTGCAACTGACTTCCTCAGTTCTCAGGCTCACAAATCCAGTTGCAACTTTCACATCTGCATTTATGGTCACGACTCTTAGCTGGTTGATCACTGAGCATCTCACCCTCAACAGGTCCTCTCAGGTGATTTCATAATACAAACACCAAGGAGCAGCTCAGAGCTGTAAATACACACTCCCTGTGTAATCACCAAGCAGATTAAAAACTCACCAGCTGGGCTGGGAGAGACTCATGGCAATCCATTAGGGCTCCAAAGCACACACACTGCACAGAACTGCAGGCAGGAAATTCTCAGAGCACAGTCAATTCTAACACTATTTGGCTGAGCTGCTACATGGATCCATCTTGCTGAACTGCCGTGCCAGCCCCTGGACCAGAGGGTTCCCTTGGCTGAGCTGAATCTGTACGAGCAACCTCCATCTCCCACAGTGGCTGGCTGTTGAAGTAGCCATTTGGGCACAATGACTGGCCAAGCAGGTTATATATAAGTGGCTGTAATTAATACTCCTACGAGCTTCCACATTCCTAAGGACTGAACGAGGTGCAGAAATACAAGATTGCACCCTGACCTTGTAAGCATTGGAGGAAGGCAGAGGAACCTGCTCTGTTCTGATCAGAGAAGGGACAAGGCCAGTGCTGGAGTCACTGGGAACAGGCTGTGCACAGTGCTTCTGCTGGGGCACAAACCACAGCCTTAACCTCAATCAAAAATAGCTGCAGAGCTTCTGCAGGCAGGGGGCTTCCTCCTCGTCCCAGGAAGCCTCTTTCTGTGCTTGCACATCACTGCGTGAACATGGTGGGTGTGCAAACTGTCACAGCCACAACAGATCTGAGCAATACTGAAACTGGCCTTTGCCAGAGACGCACAAACTGATTAACCTGCTCAGCAAGTGCGAGAGCCAAAGCCTCAGCTGCCTCATGTACTGAATATCCCACATGGTCACCAGTTGGCTGGAAGAACAGTGCTGATACCTACATAGCAGGGCCTGAAAGCTGGTCAATTGGCCTTCACCAATTCACCCTCAATCACTACCAGTGTTGTGATTCTGGGCTGGACTCTACTGGTTTGAGCAGGACAGGTGCTGGTTTCCCATATGCTGCCCTATAGTTCTGTACATCAAGCCTGCCCAGGTGTCCTTACTTGAAAGCTGGGACAAAGCACAGCATCCACACACTGTTTCCCAACTCTCCCAAGCAGGACTGTCCAGGCTGCTCCCAAAAGCTGTGTGTGCCTTTCCCCAGACTCCATTAGCTGGTATGTTTCATATCCTCAAGGCTGCCTCAGCCTTGCATACAGGTGGCATGCCTTTCAGCCTTCAGCACCCGGGGTGGTGTTCAGAGCCTGTCCTACACGGCAGATTTAAACACATGCTAAAATGATTTACTGAGCCGGTGAATGCCTCTGCCCTGGGGAGCCAGGAACAGCGCAGCTGTGCTGCTGGAGGCTGTCGCTGATCCGGCTTAGGCAGCAGCACACAAATACAGCTTGGGCTACAGACCTAGGGTCAATCCTCAGAGGGCAAAGAGGCAGGTGCCAGGCTGGAGCAGGGCTGGAGCCCATGCCTTGGTAATTTCTGAGGGTCTCCCAGAAGAGACTGTGCCCAGGGCACTTGGTTCTAACCATCTCTGAGCCAGCAAGCTGGCAAAGCCTACAGAGAGCAGGGAGTCAGCTAGGGCTGTCTGGCTAAACGCAAAGCCAGCCAACACCAAAACCAGCTCCTCTTTCAGCTTGAGAAAGGAAGAGAAAGGGAAGAAGGTGGTAAATCTCTATTTCAGAAGCTTGCTGCCTGGTGAGCTGAAGGGAACGCCCAGCTGGAAGGAATACTCTGTATAAACACAGACTCAGTGTTTTGCATATTCTTTGCTACATATTTCATATGCATCTCTGTGTATGCATATGCCACAGGGACACCCACACAAGAAACACTTTACAGCCTGTGCTCACATCCATGCCTTGCAGCCCCCATGCTGAAGCCCCAGAGCCATGTTGCTCCTGTGCCATCCTGTCCCATGTCCCCAAATTCCTGGGAATCCCATCAACCTTTCCATGGGAGCAAACCCTGCCATTTCCAACTCTGCGTGAGGGTTCCAAGGGGAAGCACTGCCTTGCTTTCTCATTGCCATGTGCGAGTACTACTCATAGCGTTTGCTAAAAGAGGCACTGCTGCCTTGCTTTGCTCAGACCAGATCCTGCCTCACCCATGCAGGCGGATGTCTGGCAAGGCCTCAGCACCATTACCCTGCATTTCCATAGCCACTGTATCAGAAATCACAATCAGACACCATCCTGGGAAAGATCCATCCATTTCATATGGCCTCCTGCAGCCTTTGCTCCCTCTTTCCTCTTGCCTTGCACAGGCACCAACACCACTGGGAAATGGCACAAGGCAGCTCTATTTTGGGTTTTCTACAGAAGCAGAGGCCACGCTTGTGGATTCCCCTCTGAAGCTATTGGTACATTTTACAATGCTCTGATGACAGGCTGAGCAGAAGTTTCAGAACTGCTTCGTTTCTAAACCTTTCCTGAAGCAGAGCAGCGAGGGAGGGGAGAAAGGTCACGCAAAACTCTGAGAGGTCTCAAGCCTTTACAAGGCTTCAGAGAATCCCCACCTCGAGGCCCAGATTACAGGAGAAGCAGCTGTCCCAGATGCTGCAGCAGAAATAAATCATGGCAAAAGCTGAGCCAGGGGGAACTCCTGTCTGCATCTGCTCCATCCCCACAGGAAAGGGTGGCACAGAGCAGCTGGAGCATCCGGGGAATCCACAGCTGCACCTGCATCCGCCCTGGCCAGACAGAAGGCCTCAGTGCTGTGCCTTCCCTCCGCTTCCTCCCTCTTGTCCTTCTCATCTCCCTCCTCAATAGGCAGTTTCAGGAGCAGCACAGTGCCTGGATTCTCTCAGGGCTTTTACGGTGCATCCGGCACCCAGAGAATTACCCTGCGGGCACCACTCCAGCAGCATCCCCGCTGCCCAGCCACGGATGCAGCCACACACACATCCCCAGTGAGGGAACACCTCCCTCTGGCTGTCCCCAGGGTCTCTGTGTGCCCTGGCACCAATCAGACCTCTGCCCCACAGTGCAATGGGCTCAGCCATCACCACTGCTGTCCCAGCTGAGCCTCCCTGCATCCATAGACACCCACATCCCCGCCTTCTATGCCACATCCCATGGATGCGTTCCCCCATACAGCCCCACATGGGTGCCTGCATCCAACCCTGCTCTCACACACATCCGCTCAGCCACAGCAGAGCTGGGTACGGTGCGAAGGGAGGAACCACAGCAGCTATTGCCACACTTCCAGAGGAAGGCATGACGTGAGCTCAGGCTTCATTGGTTATTAATAACTTCTTTGTTAGCAGGCCAGCCCTAAGGAGGAACCAGAATTGGACTGACTGAGAGCGCAGCCTCCCCTGTGCGAGCCATCATTCACAATTTCTTCTGAAACCATTTCTGTTCTCAGAAGTCACAGACGTCCCCGCTGAGTCACCGCAGCACAGCATCCCCTCACCTACGCACAGGGCTTCACGCTTGGCTTTTTTCTTTCTAAATCCCAGAAAAATAACAGATGTCCCTGTTAAGAGGGAGCTTCTCAGACGCTGCTCACGTGGCAGGTTGTGCCAGGATGCGAGCACACATGCACCATTTCCCTAGCACAAACCCCTTGCACACCACCATTTTCCTGCTCCTCAAGAAGACTTCCTCTGCAGCAGATTCCTCCTTCAAGCAGCCTCTATGCCCTCCCCATTGCTGCATGTCTCAGGATCCTTCCAATTCCTCTCCCTTTCATAGAATCATTAAGATTGGAAAAGAGCACTCAGATCACCAATCCCATCCCCAGCTCATCCCACCATGCCCACCAACCACGTCCCTCAGTGCCACATCTCCCCAGTCCTTGAACACTTCCAGGTGGGAGATGAATGCCAGTGTTGTTCCTCACCCCAGCAGCCTCTGTCAGACATTTCCAGAGCAGCACTCAGCAGGAAGTTTTGTAAAGCTTGTCCATCTGGCACATTACGGTGTTGCTCACACAGCCCAAAGCAGGTCAGGATGAAAGCAGCCAGCTAGGGAAGGCAGCAAGTCCTAAAGTCAGCACACATGATTGCCCTTCCCACCAATCCACATGCAGCTGGTGGCTTCCATCCCCTTTTATAGGTCCCAGGGAGCACTCAGCCTTCAGCTGCTGGGGCCCTGCTAGCTAACTCATTAATGGCTGCCATCTCCACCACGTGAGTCCCCATCACAGCCCTGACCTCAGAGCCAGGCACCAGCATCGCTTACATCCATCACCCCAAAACCAAGTACCAAAAGTGAGACCCCACTGCCAGGATCCCACCCACAGGGCCCCCAGTTCACATCCCACCAATACCATGGGCAAGGGGACCCGCTCCACTTTCCAGGCCTCTCCATGCAGCGCCGTGGACTGGGGTAGAGTGAGGAGCCCTGGGGCCAGGGGTTACCCCATCACACAACAGAAGGGGAAGAGGCTCTCTTCTTCCTCTTCCTCCCTTGATTGAAGGGAATTTGCAGCCATGTAAACACAGGATGTTGATGAAACGCACTCGGCAGATTGGGCAATCTAGGGATGACTGTGCCAAGGCAAATGGGAAATGCCAGCACCGGTGGCAACCTCCTTTGCCTGTCCCCAGGGCCAGAAATTTCTCCTTTTTTCAAGGAGAGGTGGGTGTGGATTAATGATGATACTCACATTCTCCTTTCCAGCCCCTGGGGTCTCCTCGCAAGGCAGGACGATGCTTGTTGTGTGCAGCACCGTGCGCATTGCTTCAGGCTGCAGATTCTGGCACTCATAACCGAACATGAGAGGGAGGAAAGCCCCTTGTTTTGGGATTTTTGGCTGGCTCAGGTCCACAGATGGTCAGTGCTGCCTCCTGGAGCTGAGCACTGCAAGGACCCAGCACGGCCCTGCACCTGCAGCTGGGCACCATGGTGCCATGGCTCCTTCTGGGGGCTCTGAGATGGAGCAAGAGTGGGATGGAGGGGCTTGGGGTGCCCAAAAGCAGGCAGAAGGATTTTCCCAGGAAAAGAGGCAGAGGTAGGCACCTCTGATTCTGCTGAACACGGATGCTCATGGCCATGGGGTGACACCTCCTGTGTGCATGTGGGAAAGAAACACCAGAACTGCACCATATGCACGAGGACATGGAGACAGGAGGGTGGAGTGAGCAGGGCGGCATGCGACATCCTCCCTAGTCCTCGGTGTCCCCAGTGTCCCCTGGAAGCTGCTGCCATCTGCTGGCAGGACCCAATCCTGCTCCGGTCCAGAGTTCGGCCGCTGCGTCGAGGTTCCCTCTGTCACCCACTGTCCCTTTGGGGTGGCATGACTTCATGCACCGCTCCACGTCCAACACCTCAAGGTGCCCCAGGAGCCGGGCACCAAAACGGCTCCATTGGGGCTGAAATCTCACTCTGGTCTTCTCCCCCTGGGAGAATTTCCCATTTGGCTGTGGTGACTGCACCATGTCCTCTTCTCCCTGTGACACCCAGCCCGTTCCCACGGCCCCGTGGCCTCCCTGCTTCCACCAAGGATATACTGGGGATAGCAGCCAGGGACTGGAGCATCACCGGGTGCAGGGCACCCAGCCCCATGTGTGCTGAGCATCATACCTCATCCTTCCTTGATCACATGGCACCAGTTCCCCATGCTGAGCTCATAAGAGGGACTGAACCACGGCTGTCCCCTCTTAATTCCTCACTGCAAAGCAAAACCAACACGCAGTGCATTTTCTGTGCACCTCATGCCAAAGCACACACGTGCACCAGGAAGGCTGCGTGGTGCTGGGACTGTCAGAGCCATGCCCCCCCAAGGGAGCACTGCAGGTACAGCATGTTGATTTTAGTCTGGTTTCCAAATAAACCAGGTGCATGCACCACCCTGCTCACCTCTGCCTTTGCCCATCCCACCCTCTGTGATTTCATCCCCACGTTTACAGAGCCGTTCCCACTCAGAATCCTTCCACTGAGTGCCAGCAGCTCAGCCCTTACAAGACATCAGAGACTCCCCTGTCTATCGGCTTGCAGCACACTTCACCTGCATCCTCATCCCGTCGCCACCCAATTTCCTTCCAGAATCCCACAGCCACTCGACACGACAGCCCACAGGGACGCCGGACGCCTGGATCCCTCACAATCCGCGTGGCTGTGCCCCCTGGCAGCATCCCACCCACCACATCGCTGCTTTGCTCCGGTAACGCGGTGACATCAGTGCGGCTTCCTGCCTGCCGGCAGCACCCGCCCCAGGCCCCACAGCCCCGTGCCGTGGGGCAGCGAGCCCCAGGGCCCCGCTTGTGCCCTGCAGCATGGAGTCAGTGGCTCTGTACAACTTCCAGACGACGGAGAAGGATGAGCTGCCCTTCCAGAAAGGGGACACCCTGAAGGTACAGGGGGACAGAGGTTGGGGAGGGACGGCGTTTGTACACGGAGTGCTTTTGTTGCAGTTGTTTGTCACCTGTTTGGGGCTTTCTCTGGAGGAGAAGTTGCTGTTTTTGATGAGTTTGGGGTGCAGAGCAGCATCACAACAGTAGAAGGTACCAGCTGTCCGTGCCACGGGACACATCCCCGGTGAGGTCCTGGCTGGGGCATGGCACGAGGCCACCCTGGCCATTGGGGCATCAGTGGCACCATGCTTTTCTTTGGGGCTGAAACCTGTTTTTCCCCTGCTCCGCAGCTACAGGAACCCATCGGTAGGACCATGAGCCCAAACCCCCATCTGGGCACAACATTCAGAAAGGACTCAGCTGCCACCTTGGCACCCCCAAAGCCTCAGGGAGCCTCAAAACACCCCCAGGACCCACAGCCCTGCACTGGGGTCACGGGCACCCTGCCCCACTGCTTGCTCCTCTCCGTGGGGCTGATACATTCTGTGGCACCCCACCAGCAACTTGGGGGGGCCGAGGGCACGGGGAGCAATGCACAGCCCCGGCTCTGTCTCTCCGGTGTGTTTTCCCCCGCAGCCCCGGGGTTTCAGATCCTGTTTGTACAGCTGTGCAGCAGCCCCAGGGCCCTTGCGTGGGAGGCTGGAAACTGGTGTTATGCGGAAATGGGTGTCACAGCCCTCCTGCTCGCAGCGGGACCGTCCTCCTACGCTGCCACTGCCCCAGGGGATGCTGCCGCTGGCTGCAGCCAGGCCCCCTGTGGGTATGGGTTTTACCACTTTCCTTGGCTGGGGGCTCAAGGGGATGCTGGGAACCTCTGTGGTGAGCCAATCCTCAACATGGAGTGAGCAGTGAAATGTGCTGCCTTCACCAGAACCCCGTTTCCCCAGATTTTGTGGGTAGTTGGGACGGCTACATAGGGGCAGTGGAGGGCCATGGGGATGGCAGCCGGGCTGATGCTTCCCTGCTACTCTCCTGCCCCAGATACTCAACATGGAAGATGACCAGAACTGGTACAAGGCTGAGCTGTATGGCTGCGAGGGCTTTGTCCCCAAAAACTACATCAAAGTCAAACCCCACCCGTAAGTACCAGCCCTGCCCCATGGTGTCCCCTGCCAGCACCGGGCAGTGACCCAACCCCATGTCCTGGTGCCCAAACAGCTGCTGAAAGCCCTGAACATGGGGAAACTGAGGCACAGAGTGTCAGGGTGACAATGCCAGGCACTGCCAGGTCCTTCTGCCATTGTCACTGAAGGCAGTGGGAGGCAGAAGGGAACCCACATATCCTGGGCACACAGAAATCCATCCCTGCACCATGTTGCCTACTGTATAAATGATAATTTATAGGGAACAACAAAGAATTATGGGATTACAGTTGCATTAGACACAATCCCATTAGTGTATTATTAAAGCCTGGCATAATCCATCCTCAGTTTGAAGCTGTGTTTTACGTACCATCATCCCCGGGTAAATCACATTTTAATGCCATAGCAAAATCTGCTTGGAGCTGTGGCTGTGGGGTGCTGGGGCAGAGCTTCTTTGGCTCAGCTCTGTGCTAAAGCTGGGGTTGGGCATAACCACAGTAGGTTCAGCAGGTAGCAGTGGGTCTCCCCGATGCTCGGTGTTCGTAAAGTTGTGGTATTTGCACTGGCAGTGACCTCATTTTGATGCCTCCATCCCCACACATTGGGTTTCCTGCTCTGCACCAAGCACCCATGGGCTGTTTCCGTATTGGGCTGCGAGTCACGGGGGGGAAGCAGGGGACGAGGCACCGTGCTGGCGAACAGGATGCGGTCACGGCTGCTGGTGATGCTGCACAAACACCTTTGCAGGAGACTGTGCTTGCGCAGCGGGCACTCACCTTGAGATCACATCAAAGGGGCAAAATGCTGGGGGTGGGTTCAGGCCCGACGGGGACCCCACTCCCACGGGGTTCCTCTCGGTGTCTCCGTCCCGCGGGGTGGGGACGTGGCGCGGGGTGCTTGGGGCTGAGCGGTGCCCCTGGCAGGTGGTACGCGGGGAGGATCTCTCGGCACGTGGCGGAGGAGCTGCTCCTCAAGCGCAGATACGTGGGAGCCTTCCTGATCCGCGAGAGCGAGAGCGCGCCGGGGGAGTTCTCCATCTCCGTCAAGTGAGTGCAGCCCAGGGGACACGTTTCCGTGAGCATTCCTGAAGACCAGCTCTACAGCATCCTGGTGCCCCGGGGCCGATGGTTTCGGCATCAGAGCCAGGGCTGTGTGAAGGTGTGCCAAGAGGCAGAGCCTCCCCCAGGGCTCTCGCCCCATTGCTGCCCCTTCCCCGCCCAGAGCCAGCATGCGGAGCCGGCCCAAGGCCAGCCAGGCACTTTCTCACATTGCTAATCTCTAATTAAGCATTTAAGGAGGTTCTTGCCCATAATGAAAGGGAGCAACCTCTGCCCTGAGTCACCAGCAGGGCCACATCCCTGCCCCTTCCCCGGGGCCCTGGAGGCAGTGGGGACATGCAACAGACCCATGGCCCCACTGTGCCACCACCAGGAGCACACCAAGGTGGGAAGCCAGCCTGCTCTGCTCTCCTGGGTCTGGGGGGATCTTGTGGCTCACTGGCACCCAAACCTACAGCCCATAGCTCTCCTACCTGCCCTTTGTGGGTGTATGGATCCCAGTGCCACTGTCACCTCTGGCTGGCTAGAGTAGGATCCTGGCTTCGCACACAGTGCTGG